GCGATGGATACGGTGGATGCGCTGAGACAGCGCCGAGCCCTAATTCAATATACCCTGGCGCCGAGCAATAAATATTCAGTTCACCTAGACCGAAGAGGCGTTTACTTTTTATGTTCTCCCTTTTATATCTTATTTTTTCTTATCTTCTACTTTCAAAAAGATCCGAAGCCTGTGTTGAAAAAATAGGTTATTTTCCAGAAACAAGCAACATAAAAACGGTATATATTTTACAAACAATTCAAAGATCATTTCACTGCGTTCTAACAAAATTCATACAATGCAGTGAGCAAAGTCTGCATTGATGCCCAGATACAGGGAAAGGGATGTTTGTTAATGACAAGATTAAAGACATGGACGAAACGCTTTAAACATGTACTAACTGCATAGAGATAGTTGACTTGTTCGTTCTGACTAGCAGGGCAAGGCAATGATCAAATGAAAATACACCGCCATACATTTCGCGTAAAACGAATCAGACCAGCACTTTAACCGGACACAAAGTCGCCCGCCGTCGTATTCTCAATGAATGGCCACATCTGGAACACTAGTCGACACTATGAGCTGACCGACTGTATAACACGGGCCATTCCAACTTTATTGCCATGCAAGTTAGTGCCCATCACAGCAGGCTAGGAGGCGGCGGGAAAAGGCCGGAACGGCACGGCCGCGGCGACTCGGGAGCCGACGTTTGGCAGAGGGTGGCGGACCCGGGTCAGAGCGGAGAGGGAGTGGGAAAGGACGGGGCGAAACCTATTGATTATAGCTTATAGGTTGAATTGGGGAGTGAACATTGAGCACCGAACAAATGCCACACAATGAAAGACTGCTATGTCTGTGTTCATGAAATAGACAGAAATAGTGGTCGTCGTCGGCGACTTACAAGTTCAGCCGTTCACTGCGATACGGGGAACGTTTCTATTGCTGATGTTACGCAGGACCGCTCAGACCCAGCCCAAGGATAAATGTGAAGTATTTCTGGAAGAAAGGCCAAGATGGAGTCGAAAGCCGCTCGACGACGGCCAGCGAATTAGCATAATCGGGTTATCTTAGAAAGGGCAGCACCGACCATGACAAACAGTTCCCGGAGGCACACAAAAGAGCCTGGGCCCCAGCGTCCAGCGCTTCATTCCGCCCTCACCAGTGCTGCATGGTCAGGGTCGGTAACCCCGTGTAATACAGCGGGGGTAGACACTTCTTGGTGAGCTCCTTAGCCACTTGGAGCGAAACACGGATCCGACGGCGGTGTTCAGGGGCTCAAGGCGGCGATTTCACGGTTTTCTTGTGGGCTTTCAGCAGCACGAGCTCATGCAGAATGAGCCTATTATGACTAAAATTGGCAGTTTGATATATGTTTATGACTGCGGGGGCTCAGCAGCGACCCTTAGATATGTAGGACGCAGAAGTGATGGTGTAGGCAGACTCCAGCAGAGACGCGAGGGTTAAATGTTGGCGTCTTCATACAACCAGACAATGTGTTATTTGTAGCACTTGTGAGGCATTGTGCTGCATATTCTACTCGACATGCAAGCGTTCACTGTGACGTGAGAGTAATGACGCGCAGAAAAGAGGCGGCAAAAGTTTATTCACTATGAAGTCTAGGGCAAGCTTTATTTTCTAGCCTGGCGAGCCTGCTTTTTGAGAAATAGCCACTAACGTGAACCCCGAACTGTGCACGACAAAACAGCTCGGGTAGGTACCTCATAGTTCGTTCGCAGGACATCTATGACGGAGTTAGAGGTCAATCGCCTCAGTCGTCCGCCCAGTGCCCATGAGCGGCCCACTGGCTCCTAGAACCTCTGTCTGTCCACCCGGCGGCTCGGCCGACCGTCCGTTCGGTCGGTAGCAATGATCGGTTCTAGAGCCCTAATGCTACCCTTTCTTTCCGTCCAGCAGTTCATGAGCGGCCCGTGATGCTAGTGCCGACCGGCAACCTCATTAACTTTGATATACGGCTACCGTGAAGCCAGCCAATTGTTGGAAGGCATCAAAATATATAATCAAACTGCTTAATAAGTGGCCAGCTCGGCAGTTTAACACATACGACCAGAGAGCTATCATTTTTCATCAAAATATTTTAGCTCCACTACTGGGACTCCCTACCTCACACCGCCGCCTTCTGATTACATACGACACCCATTTACCTCAAATGACCTACGGTCAGAGCTGAAATAGCCTGTTGACGATGTGGTATGTAAATAATTCATTCCAAGAATGCTCGTAAAATTCACCGGAATCCTGGCGATCCAGTCAACCTGCCGCGAACGCTGCCCTGTCCCGACTGGAGCAGCCCAGAGCAGGCGGTCGTCCGTACGGCACAAATGACATTGGACGACTTCTGAGGCGATCGGCCAACTTCTGATGGGCCGAGTGAATCAGAATTCGTCGAATCCCGGATATGGTTCCGGTCCGAGAGGCGGCCAGAGAAGAGGCGGCCCGACTACTCCGAGCGGTACACGGAACCGGCAGAGGGCGGGGGAGGAGCGGAGAGAGGAGAGAGCAGAGAGCAGAGAGCGGGGCTGGCCGGCCTCCAACCGGCACTGTATTGACGTGTTTGTGACCATTGATCTCGACTCAATTTGGGCAGTCAAACTGGGAGTTATGGCTCCCGCTAGGCCAGGTGGCAGGCAGACCAGTATGGATTCGATGCAGATTCTCTCCGAGACAGAACAGCAGGCTTGTAGCACATCAGACGTTCCAGTCCAGTTATAAGAGTGTCTTCAAGGAACATGTGGCTGTCGATACCATGATGCTCTTTTGAGAATGCCGAATGTCCATCGGTAACATAAATTCGGCGATGTCCCCTATCCGGCAGTAACATTCGGCCCGCTATGTCGAATGTTCGGCTGTAATATTCTGTCGGAAATGCCCAATGTCTTATGACGGCATTTTATCAAAAACGTTGTCTGTCCATTGATCCTTCTGCCCAGTATCCAAGCCGTCCAGTACAAAGTTGACAAGGCTAAGGGTGCTGGACCGTGTCCTTTCCAACTCCCCTCGCCCGCGTCCGTTTCCTCCCTCGCCTCGCGTCTCTAATACCTCGGAGTCGCCGAGCTCCCCACACCCTCCTGTCGTGAGTTTGCTCTGTTCGCGGACGGACCCTTCTCGCCCGTTAGAGCGCAGCTCCGTTTGACCAGCTGCCAAAGGATAGAAACAATCTATGGCCAGCCGAGTTGGAAGGTAGTTTGGCGGGCAGTGCTGACTTCAGTCGGCTGACGCTGTCACAGACCAACGAGTGTGCCTAAGTTGGGATCTGTTTTAATATGACAAGAATCCTTCCCCATCTACCGTCTAAGCCACTGGCCACTAAGCAAATGTCGACCAGTATCAAATCCACAACACCCACAACCCACTACATTCCACCCACCACCCACCACCCACCGCCCACGCCCGTCGTCCCCGGCCGTTTCCATTCGCCGACGAACAGGGGCTGTCGAGTGGAAGGGAGTCTCGGCCGTCCGTCTCCCGGCAGACTCCGATTTACGCCCACAACCGGTCCTGTCTGTTTGCATCTGCAACTGCGGCCACTCCCAGCAGAGCGCGCCGCATCGGGGCGGGGGCGGGGGGCGGCGAGATGAACGGCACGACACGGTTACAAAGGCGTCCGACGGCTCAGCGCCGGCGCCGCCCGAGCGGCCACTGCGACAGACGACGCCGGCGGCGACGCACACAAATGATGCACGCGCCATATGGTGGGGCGGCAGAGCCGTGATTGTCCCGCGCCGTGACGAATACGGATGACCGGCCAAGGACGGGGGATTCGGGCGGACGAACGGAGGAGACACTAAAAATAGCCACACGAAGAATGGTGAGGAGAATAAACAGCACAACACGCCGCAACGGCTGGTAGGCAGGCATGCAGTACCAAAGTACGAAACTGATTTATTGGTCATTCGCTACAGTCCTAACTCGATTTGAGGGAATGGGTTGCGCGTGTGGTGGGTCCATCAATTTTAGAATCGCCGCAATACTGTGCACACTTCAGCGGGCAGCATGGCCATTTGCCCGTATGAGATATAGAGCGAGGCCTATACACCGAAATACTAGCAACTCTTGAGCTGAAGCACGCAGTTAAACTGTAAATCACATACTTCTCGCATAAAGTATGAGTAATCGAGTTAGATTTTGGCCGGGAAAGTCGCTTCTAAAAAGATAGCTTAATTTCCAGAAATGGTTCAGGATTCAGTATCTCCAAGTTTGTGATAGCTGGATTCAAACAGAATTAAATACAAACTCCTGACTGGCAAGTTTTCCGTCTCTGCTGAAAATAATGCCCAGACCGTCTGTAGGAGACCTCAGCAGCCGACTGGCGTGTCCCACCGCCGCCGGACCGCCCGCCTGCCCGCCCGCCGCTCACTGATGAGCCCCGGGGTCGCGCCCCGCTCCGAGACAGACCGCAGCTCGACTGGAAACACGATATCGGAGTCGATCGCACGTCAGGACCAACACCGTATCGACAACAGCTACCGCGGGCTGCTCGGTGCGGAATGACTGCGGCGTACGGCAGACTCCGACCGGGATACGTCGTCAGGCAGTGCTTCATAGAGAGCTGAATGACGGACTGTGGCCGCACGGCGGGCGGACGGTGGGTGGGTGGGCAGTGGGGACCATGGTTCTGATGTCAGTGTGTAGCTGACCGTCCGATCCCGCGAACTCTGAACACAAACGGATAATGGAAAACGAGCTCTTGTCTCTGTCAAGTAATTCGCTGCACAGTGAACACAATAATTGCCTGAATAAATGGACGCATTCCGGACGTTTCATCCGGACGTGGCGGTGACTACCCGGCTGACGCGTTGTGATTTATCTAGCCAAGAACAATGGCCTGTCCTGACCCAACTGGCCACAGTGCGCGCACCACGGACCGACCCGACTGACTGTGACCTGCCCTGACCCCGACTAACCTGGGTTTAGACCAGGGACTGACTGGCTGTGGTCTGCCGTTACCCAACTAGCCTGTGTCTTTACCAGGCGTATTATGATCTGTGCTGACCCCGACTGACCTGCTGGTAGACCAGGTCGATCGGGCAGCCGAGGTTGATGTCGATGAAGTCCAGCTCACAGGTTTCGTTCAGCAGCTGGGCACATCGGGTTAACACGCCCGGGTTGTTGCCGCATATCTGGAAAACGAACAACGTCAGGCACAGGGAAAATCGGGGGAGGTTCGGCAACTGATCTCCCGTTGACAAAATCGATACTCAACTCGTACTGCTTTTTTTTCTCGAAGAAAAAAGTAACTTGTAATGCGTTTCTAGCAGAATACGCGAGGCGATACCTCTTCAAACAAATAATTCAGCTATTCCCAACAACAATGCTGCACCTTCTTCCATTTTCATGACTCAACATCTGATAACCATCCGCGTAATGCCAAAGGTCCGTGTCTTATTCCCCACGAACGACCCCACCAGCGCCACTGAGCGTCCTCTCCTCACCTGGGCGCCGAACACCTTCTCGGAATGGTGCCGTCGCACGAGCGCCCACTCGGCCTGGGCGCCCTGTAGCAGGTTGGTAGCCATGGCCATCTCTCCGCACGTGATGTCGGCACCCAGTCGTCGGCACAGTCGGCGGAACGGCAGGTTACCGACCGTGGTGAGCGGCGCAAGGTACAGCTGGTCCTGCCAGTCCACCTGCCGGGGTACGGAGGTGTAGTACAGTCACGGGGGTACAGAAGTGTGAGGTACAGTCACTGCAGCGGCGCCAAGTACAACTGGTCCTGCCAGTCCACCTGCCGGAAGGTGTACAACAGGCGTGAGGTACTGCCTACCAGGAGGCAAGGAACGGTGAGATATAGCTGCAGCAGCGGCACCAAAGACATACAGCTGGTCTTACCAATACATGTGACCGCATCACCAGCAGAGCATACAGTAAACATTCCATGTAAGGTATTGCACGGATAATGCCTCAGCCAGTTATCCAGCACAAAATGCACACGTTCCGCACCGAGTAGCGTCAGACACCAGCCCGTCTCCCTGCCTCTCATAGACCGCTCGCCTCGCCCCTCCCCTCTCCCGGACTGCTGGACCCGCTGATCGCTCCTGGGCTACACCGTGAGGGCGGGCACGGTCGGCGGCCGGCGGCTACCGGCCCGCGGCACGACGATCATCGTCTGGCAGCGGAGCTCCGGGTCAGAGCCGCCGGGCGACGGGAATGGCTGGGTAAATGAACAACGGCCCAAACCCAAGCTACCGAACAGCTCTGTGTAACTACTTAGTTACTGAAGAAGCTCTAACTGCCAAGGCAATAAAGGTTTTATTTTGAGGATTCAAGAGTTGAAACTATTTTCCAACTTCGCAACAGAAACATAGGACAAGAGTGAAGAACCACAATATGTCGTTATTGGTAATAAAACTTGTCGTAGCACACAACTTCTCAAGGGTCAAAGCCCGACCACTCATAATGGGTAAGGTAATAAGCAAACCATGAAATAGTCCAGGACGAGGTACAGCAAGCCGTACATACGCGTAACAACAAAAAGGCGCGGAGCGAGCGCTTACGAAACTTCCTGTGATGCGATGAAAAATTGGCTCGAATCGCATCCCGTACAGAGCCGTACAAAACAGTCCGCAACTTTTCTCTACACTTTCTCTCAGAGGTGACTGAAAAAGTTGCCTCAATACTACGCCCTGGTACCCCCAAAGCTTTAACACCAACCAAGCCGTACTTAGGATAACAAAACATAGTGCAGAAGGCGCTGGTAGCGCCCTAGATGCCCAAGCTCCATCTAGCCAAATCCTGTTTTTAAAACAGTAGTGAAAATCTGCTTATTCTCAAGAAAAAGATAATCCTGCGATTTCCGGAGCTCAGTGCTCGGGCCCCGAGCTGTGACCAGCTTTCAGCGAGCGTTGGACAGTTGATCTGGCTCGATAAGACGCAGCGACGACACACGACATAAATCTGTGAAAAAGTTGTTGGTGAGGCGGCTAGAAATTTCGCGGACTGTGGAGTGTGGAGCATGTAGCAACTAGCATTTGTGTATAATTTTGGTAGACGTTCGTTGTTCTTACAGAGAGGGAATTTATGAGTGCATGCAGAATCGTAGTCACCGTTTCTGAGATTCCTAACATATCTTTCCATTCAGGTTAAGCATATTAAGCACAAGCATTGAAAACGTAAAAATCCAGTTAAAACCTTTTCAACAAAATCGTTTTAAAACGGTTACTTCAAAATGTTTCATAAAATTACGACGCTATTACGGCTCGTCAACGGTGATGTAGAATCAATAAAAACTACATCTGTTTCCATTCGTACTTACATTGTATCAAACTTGCAGTGCCCTTCTTCTGGACGTTTAATGAGATATTTGAATTGGATCATGCTTCATACTAGGATGGATGGTGGCAATAAGGAAACGGTCTCATTTTTATCAAAACATGACCGGACACGCTATCAGAGTCCAGAGACCTAGAGATACGGGAATTCTGAACTTGTATCATTTAGCCCAAAACATAATTAGATTACAAGTATAGGACTATTATTGATGTTGAGAGAACCGCAAACAATAATCATGGAAACGATTGAGGAGCTGACCATTATCTTCACTGCTATAATGTTCTCAGTTCATCGACTTGGGGTGCAAACGTGAAACAGATTTTAAGTCTGCATAGACGTCCACTCTGGTTCCTACATGCATCTTCTCCATCCGCACCCCACAAGTAAGGTTAAACCGAAAAAAATATAAATTTTAGGCGTCGATAATCGTATCGCATAGAATTGGGTGTCAGCACGCAATCTGGGCTGACCCCTCGAGGGCTGCCTCAGTCTCGATTCCCGTACCCTCTACAGCATGTGGCGCCACCAGACGTAAACTGCAGTTGGCTTTAGTGCGCTGTCAGGTCGCCGTTTGACCAGCATACCACCAGGTTGTTCGCGTTTCTCGGCTTCTCATCGGTGAAATCCACGTGGGGCGTAGCACGTTAATTACATTCACTGAGAGGTCGAAAAACGTCATCATGTAACTTCCATATACGGCAAAACCAACAGCATCCTGATAAAAAACAGCAATCGTACAGCGCTGTCTGTGGCTATATCTCCCCCTCTCAAAATACAGATGGCAGCACCAGGCCCCCCTGTGCTGTTTAGGTAGGTCTTGACCGTTTCAGTGTATCAGTACCTATTCCGCCCGTACGTACACCAACTTTCCTGTACCGGAACGCAACTACCCATTCTAAAAATTACCAGCTGACAGAAAATATCACAACTCAAAACTCTTTTTCGTGTCCCAATGTCGTAAAACGGATGCCTTGGATACTTGGACTAGATGGCAGCACATAGCTGTTGTCCAAAGCGACCGGTAGCATAAGGCCCAATGGCAAATTGTGCCATTAGACTGTACCGCAGAAGGCTTGAAATTATACAGCAGAAAGAGCGCAAAGTCCCTATGTCTCACCCAGGCCCAACACCATCTTACCTTCTTTTTCTCGGCCGGTCGGGGCTTCACGAAGTCAGTGTCCGAGTGGGATCCAATCGGCTTCTCCGAGCAGACCGTCGACTGAGCGCTGTCCCCACGCCCGTCGACCGGTCCAGTAGTGTTCCCCACTGCAGCCGACACCGCACCGGGAGCAGGAGACGTGTTCGCATCCGCCACGGCGGGGCCTTCGGCAGAGACGGCGTCCTGCGCCGGAGCGGGAGCCGCGGTGGCTCCAGGGGTAGCTACAGAGGCGTCCGTGGGGACAGCTGGGTCGGTAGCAGCAGTAGTGGTTGTCTCAGAGCCGGCTGCGGCGGCAGGAGCAGTTTCAGGGGTCGTCATGGGGGCATCTGGTCCCACGCCGTTCTGAGCTGGCGGCGCCTCTCCGGTCCCCTCGGCCGGCCGCCGGCCCGGCCTCTGTCTCTGCCCGCCCCTCTGTGCCGACGACGGCCGCCGGTCGAACCGCTGCACCGCCGCGTTAGACACCGAGAAGTCGTAGCGGCGCTTCCACAGCTGGCGCTGTACATCCTTGGTGAGTGCGTTGCGCGTGGGGCGCAGCGCCTGGTAGGCAGCCCACTTCTCCGGATCCCCCTCGCTGCTCCGGTGCTCCGGCGTGGTGTGCGACGCGCCGAATCTGACGGGGACACAAAAAGCATGTGTGATATGTTTGCCACTCACAAGATATCCCGTGGCCTCTTTCCATAGATACAGCTGACACCCGTCAGAAGCAGACGGCGACCTAGATGCTCCACCCCCAGCTTCCTAGGTCAAAGTCCACATCCCAGCTCCACCCAGTCCGCGGTATTACGTTACTGCTCCATCCTCAGTCTCAGCAGCCTAGGTCCGCAGCCTAGACCTAGACCTAGGTCAGCATCCCTAGGTCCCGCCCCATCCGCCTGGTCAGTGGTCCCACGCCATATACGGCCTTGGTCCCACGTCTCATCCCATCCCCCCGTTAGCGGTCTCAAGTAGACCCTTTCCCATCCTCTGGTCAGCATACCAAAACCTATCTCAAATCCCAGTCGGTGGTCCCACCCTACCCCGTCAAAATCGTCACATTCACGTCCCTCCCCATCGACCTCTGTTCAGTCGTCCTCACTCCTTCCCATCCGCCCTGTCCTCACCTGCAGGTCAGCCCGGACGGACAGCGGCCGTGCTCCTCGTACATATAGCAGCGCGGCCCGAGGTCAGCCGGCTTCTTGGCCAGGTAGGCGGCCGGGTCGTGCAGGAAGTGGCACTGGCCGGGGAAGGTGCAGCGCGGCTCCGGCTCAGAGGCCAGCACGTCCTTCAGCACCGGACACAACTTCTCAGAGGGCGGCTGACGAGCTCGGCCCGGACGCTGCTTGTTACGGCCTGCGGCGAGCACAGGGGTTAGGATGTCACAATCATCATTTTAGTGATGGCCTGAAAATGCCTAGATAAAATGTTCATAAAATTATGAAAAAGATAGTGCAGCAGTCAGCACTAAGCATAGTGTAGGTACTAGCATGTAGCAAGTGAAGCATGCATATTGCATATGTATACGATTGCACTCACCTCGCTGTTTTTCTTTCTGTTGCCCTGCTTCCTTTTCTTGCCCATCATCCACAGGTTGTGCATTGTCTGCACTGCTGGTTTCTGGTGCTCCATCATCAGACAGTTTGATTCTTTTGGCTGTTACATCCTCAGAGAGGTCGCTCTTGCTTTCTTCATTCTGTGGCTCCCCTGCACCATCTTTATTTATAGGTAACAGAAATCTGTAACATTGATGACAGCCGTAACTATAACTAAATGTCGCCATCAGACATCCCCAAAGGTAGGCATCTTAGAGTCCTACTGGTCTTACTTTCTTTATAAATGTCCTCATAAACACCTATTAAAAACAAAAAAAGTAAATATGGGGTGGTAACACTTGACATGCTATGAAACTTCAAAACTAACCAGCACAGAAGGCTAACTTTGGTTAATTTTGAAGGTTAATTTTATTAGTAAGTCTATTTCAGGAGTCAGGACAGAATCTGAATGCAACCAAAATAAACTTACTCTGCTTTGATAGCAGCCTCCCCTGGCCTGTAGACCGGATCCTTCTTGCATTCATTGCTGTCAGCCATTGTCACCTGAAAAGAAAAATCAGTAGGTACTTAAGGTTAGGTACAGGGTCCTCAGCCACAACTGTATGGGGATCTGCAGTTGACAACTTGACACCTGACCTCACTGTGTACAGTGTACGCTGCAGTGTGAACAATATTAACCCGCGCACCGACGGGGGGCGGATATCCGCCCCCCTGAGGTCCTTCGTAGATGGGTGTCCGTCAAAATTCGTGGAGATATGCTGTCCCACGATTTCAATAATGCCTCACGTCAATAAATGAGCTTATTTCAGCGTAACACGGGTCCGTACGCGAGAATTGGACATTCGATTGAAGAAAAAAATCATTGAAAAGGCAACAGCAAAGTGGCAAAAAAAATTGGACATCTTTCCAAAACCGTGCTTTTGTGTGCCTACTGCCTATGTATTTTAGCTTGTCCCACAACCTGCGAAAAAAATCTACAGAGCTGCTGTGTAGTTATTTTTAGAGATAATTGAGCGCGAGGGAGCGTTGTGAATAGAAAAAACATTGAAATTTCTCTTCATGGTTCTTATTTTTTGGTTATACAATTTAGCAAAACTGCACAACGCAAAAACGTCTGTCCCACGGTTTTTGGCAAACTTTTTTTCTGGGTCACGTTTGTTTCTGGGTCACGGTACTTAGCTCCTCATTCAAAGCATTACGGACCGGAGGGGTGTTCACGGGCACCGCACACTGCTGCGTGCGGTGTGTGCGGTGCGTCCAGCAGGCGTGGGGGTAGGGGATGGGTAGGCGGCTCTGACGTCACGGCTGCGTGCGGTGGACGGTCCGCTGTGGCCAGTCCCGACCGGCCACAGCGATCGCTGTGTGCGGTGACGGAAGGCTGACGTAGGGACGCAGTGGGCGGAGCTTGGAGGCTGTGTGCGGTCCGACCGCACACAGGGCCCGTGAACAGCCCTCGGGTAAGCAGGGTCTGCAGAGGGGTGTTCACGGGCACCGCACACTGCTGCGTGCGCTGTGTGCGGTGCGTCCAGCAGGCGTGGGGGTAGGGGATGGGTAGGCGGTTCTGACGTCACGGCTGCGTGCGGTGGACGGTCCGCTGTGGCCAGTCCCGACCGGCCACAGCGATCGCTGTGTGCGGTGACGGAAGGCTGACGTAGGGACGCAGTGGGCGGAGCTTGGAGGCTGTGTGCGGTCCGACCGCACACAGGGCCCGTGAACAGCCCTCAGACTTGCATATGGTCCTATCCCGCGAAGGCGCAGAGAGCGGGGGCGGAAACTGAAAACTGTCAGTTGGGCTGGGCGAACCCAGGGGAAATCATCTCCTGCGTGTCATAAGATTTCTTTATTCTGGGTCACACGCCCTTGTGGCTTGTGGCTGGTAAGTGTCGAAAAGAATCACAGTGTCGTGTTGCTGCGTGCTCAGGTACTCCAGATAAGATGTACTTGGAGATTAGTATTCGATAACAAACTTGCCATATTCGGAAAACTGTAAAAACTATTCCCCTGGGTCACGCATTTTTTTTTCTTCTGGGTCACGGATAGCGTGACCCAGGAAAAAAATCGTGACCCAGAAGAGAAATTCTGCCCACCTACATCATCAAGACATGCAAGTCTTTCCGCCTACGTGTGGAGAAGGTCATTGCCGATAAGGGGGTTATATCGCGCATGAGGTGAGTGAACGTATCTGGTTTGATAATGCGTGACCCAGAAGATATTTTTTCTTCTTCTGGGTCACGGACCATTTTACGCGCATGCGCAATGGCATTTTTGAATTATTTCAACTGTGAACAGCCTAGGGTGCATGGTTTATGAAAAGGTAATGATTTCTAGGAAATCAGTTGTGGGACAAATATCGACCCAAATCTCCACGAATTTTGACGGGTACCCAGATAGCAGGAAAACCGCGGCGCGTAGCGCCGCGAAATTTGGTACGACTATTCGCTCATCAATTTTACACATGGTGTGCAAGTTTGAACCTCCTAACTTTTAAGGTCAGGTCACAAGGTCACTTTGAATGACCCAACCTCAAGTCACTTTTTTGCAACTTTGTCACCGTGCCAGAGCTACAGTAGATGTCGGAGGCCTTTGAAAGTCGCAGGATGTTATAAGGTCATTAGTAACTACAATTTGTAGGTATATCTCGGAATTTTGATATCGATGACCTAAGGTCAGGTCAATTTCTCGACCTCCCCATTATAAGTCAATGGGGGAACAATCAACTTCCTGTTTTTACCACTAAAACGGGTCGGAATGGCACCATAAACCATACATGACTTCATATACGATTAACCTTCACTACCTTGAGGTCTGTTTTGCTGGTGGGCAGCTGTAAGGTCATGTGACATCATCAAAGGTCACGAATGGTTTTTTGCCAATAACTCCGTACAGGAACAAGATACAGACGCGCGGATGGTCTCATTGATATTTGTATACCATTCGACTCGGCTCGATGAGCTGAATCGAATGGTATAAATAATAAAAATCTCAATTTCGAAAAATTTGACACTTAGAGGATGTTTTTGCTGAGAACTGTCGAATATGGCCCGTACCCGGAGCCGGAGCCGTCAAAAAAGGGGGCGACTCCGGCTCCTTGTTTTTGAAGAGGAAAAAATTATTGACCTAGTTCGGTTTGACAGTTCAAGGAAGTAAAACATGCAGTAGGTATTCAAGATATGAAAATAGCCTTGTTATGCAAATACAGAAGCAACGTGCTCCAATCCCATCTTCTTTTTTCATCCACCCGTATCTAATTGCATAGGAGATGTACTGAGTATTGGAGCCAGAGCCGGAGCAGCCATGGCATTTCACCCGGAGCCGGAGCCGTAGCCGATTTTTTTCTCCGGAGCCGTCTAAAATTTCCACGGGTCCACATCCCTGCTTTCTAGTCAAGCTCCTTGTTGTGTCTGCAACATTTAACAAAAGTGCCGGATCTTTCCAATCAAGAAAAATGGAAACGCAAGAAAGCATTTCATTCATTCATCGAGCCGAAACAATCATAGCACCACATTGAACCAAGTTTTGAGCCAATTTCAAATTCCTTTTCAAAGGTTATACATTTCTTCACATTTTTTATCAGTAAAACAATTTCATTTTCGCGCACTGTTACTCTCGCCCTATCGCTTTGACATACACCTTGTTAGAACAGAACACTCCTCATGCGTCTGACTATCTGTCCGTGTGGGGGATGTCGTGTGCAAGGTGTGCCCAGTGAGAGTCAAGCCGGTTTTTGAATAGGTTCATGGTGTTGGAACTTGGACGCGACGACCGCTGGTCGCTGGACTGGTAGAATGTTCATCATTGAGGACGCAGATGGAGAACACCCTGTGCCGAATTCTTTCAGTCTTCATCAACACATTTACTGGTTTGGGTTCACAGGGACAGACCACCAGCTTTACAGATATCGGGAAATGTTTATCTTTCATTGCGGATGTTTTGATGAAAACTAAAAGTCAACTTTTGTAGTTGTATTTTCAGGCCTGTTCATCTTACGGTTATCAATTTTTACCTCGCATTCTTACCTCGTTGGGTTGGGTTCCTTCGTGCCTCGCTTGTCCGGGTAGGAAGGGGTCAACTTCAATGCGCGCCCCCAGCCTGAGTCATGCCATGTCGCCATGTGGTAGAGAATACAAACGCATTTAGCATGGTGTTAGAAACACAGCTATTCGAAGCTTCCTGCGCACAACGCTATCGCAAGACAAAATGAAAATGATCCAATCAGCGCATGAGATTTCACTTATTTCGCAGATAAAATTAACAAATATATTTATGAACACGCCATTTCATGAGTCAGCTGCGCTGTTTTTGAGTGACAATTCCCTATGGTGCCGCCGGTGCCGCTAAAAAGCTGCATTCATCATCATCACCATCATCATCATTTATATTTCATCCGTTGTAAGCATCACTGATCACAGGTCAACAATCTGACGAATGAAGAAATGCCATGGGCGCAAGCATCATTCTGGGCCATCAGCCAACGTAGTGAGTCAGCCATAGGCGGCGAAACGGGGAGGGCACCGGGGCACCGGGCCCCCCTTTGATTTTGGCATTTTAACATTAGCCCTATGGGCGTTGCATGGAAAAAAATGGGACCAAAAGTCGGCTCCCCCCCCCCCCCCCCCCCTCATGGAAGGTGTTCCGCCGCTACTGGAGTCAGCCGCGGATAACTCTAGGAGATGCAACCCATTCAGGCGATACGTGGCAGCCAGCGATCCTCACAAGACTTCCATCTCACAAGGCGAGCACATGATTTACAATCAAGCCAGATGTCTCGTATAACTCGTGTTAAAAAAAAATCGTGCCCGGAGACGGTCATAGATATAAAAACGATGGTTCCGGTCAAGCCTAGCTAAAATTCGTTTCCGAAAATAATTTAGTGTCACCACTGACTCCACATATTCAAAGCTGAAGGAACAAATTATTCCGTTTATTATTACTTAAAGATATCATGCAATATCGTGAAAAGCACTAAACCATGTCCAGCAAAATAGGATTGTGATACTGGGCAAATGATTATGCCAGAAGAACCGGAACCTACTCAAGTGTGATTGGCTTAGCTGGCCTCAGCGAGGTGAACATCTCATGCAGCAGATTTAGCATTTCTTCCTGGAAGTAGCGAATCCCACGCCGTATGTCCGCCAGTCGCTCATCAGTTGGATCCCGCAGCACGTTTATCTCACTGCAGAAAAAGGATGGCAAGACCTTGTCATCGACAGCCTGTCGCAGCATCTCCAACACGGCATCCATCGCAGCCAGCGAGTCTCGCCACTCGGTTTCCTGCCGCTGTTGGCACATCCACAGCACACATGTCTTCAGGTAGTAGGAAGAGACGTTGGCCAGCCGATCCCGTCTCTCCTTTTTCACCGCCTTCAGCAGCATCAGACAGTAGCGTGCCGACGGCGGAAGGCCCCGCACCAGCTGCGCCTCCTGCCGGGAGAACGACAACCGCCACAGACGGTCGTCCTCCGCGTGCGGCCCAGTGGGCACCAGGAGCAGTGTCCTGTCCAGGCGCGCCAGCAGCCGATCCTCGGGCCAGCCGGAAGGCCGCGGCCGCGCTCGCAGCTCCGCTAGCCATGGCACGGCAGCGCTGGCGCACACAGCCACGCACGGCACGCAGTCGACAGCGCCCCCCGCGTCACAAAACGTGACGGCCGGTCCATTGACGGTGGGAGGCCCTTCCCCGCGCCGGTGACGGCGCACCGCGCCGGTGACGGCGCACCGCCTCTGTCAGAGCGCGGCGTACCGCACCCGCGGTCAGGTCGCGCCGGCCCGGGTGGCTGCAGCGCAGACGGCGGCCCCGCAACACCCGGTAGTAACCGAGCACGGCGCTCGGCGCCACACACGGTTCGCCCTCGGCGGCGGCCGCCTCGGTGGCCAGCGGCGACCGGCTGACGTCCAGCTCCAGCAGAAAGTCGTTGTCGGAGCGCAGAGGCAGTCTGTGACCGTGCAGGGAGAGCCAGCCCACCCGGTCGGCCACGCTGCCCGAGATGGTGGCAGAACGGATCTGCAGCCGGCCGGCCGGGTGGCAGTGGGCGCAGTCCTCGCCCCCGGCCGCCGCCGGTACCTCGGCCAGGTGTCTGTTCAGCTGCCGCCGCAGCGTCGGCCCGTGCACCTCGTTGAGAACCTGCAGGTGGACGGGCTCCGGCCGACCGTCGGCGCTGGAGGCCGGCGCTGGCTGAAAGTTGAGGCGCAGCAGGTGACGCACCTCGCGCTCCATACCACTGGTCCGCGCCGGTCGCCCCAGGTGCTCTCACAACCGCCGCTCCCACAATACGCGCCGGCGACCGTTTAACGACCGAGCGCACAGTGCCGTGCAGCTCAGCTCAACACAAGGTCACCGCCAGCGCTCGGGCCGGTTGCGGGACCACCGCAGCGCGACGTTCTCGCGCGCGCGCCCGCCGCCGACTGACTCCCGCGCCGGGAGGCAAAGCTGGAAATAGTCAAGCTTGTTCCGGCTATGCCTAGAGATGCAAACTGCAGTTTTTATGCCCAACGCTTCAGGGATCAGCAATACACTGGCGATAGGAAGGTACAGGTCTCGCGAGATTAAGCAGTAGGTTTTGCACTTTTACATTTCCGGTTATATCTCAGAAACTAATCGATCTACGATGAAGCCATTTTACACGATCATGGCCGGCTTGTTACCTACCCAACAAGTCGATCGCATCTTCAGCTTGAGACGACGAAGATATAGCCTGAAGTACACTAAATTTTCTAGGTGCAAAACCTACCGCTAAAACCCGCGAGACCTGTACAAGGTACGCTTATAAAATCATTTGTCGCGTTTTTTTTTACCCCGGAAGGGAATGTTATGCCAACCAGAGGAAATTCTGGTGGCAGAATTCGTTCTAAAACTAGTTCGCATACTTGTGGAGTCATCTGCCGGTAAAGGTGATTCACTTCGGAAAGTTGCACCTCAGCATCTCAAACCAGCGAAAAAGATAACCTTAACCTAGTCAGCGGATGATCTGCAAATTGCTAATAACCGACCACTGCCAATCAGTGGCCAAGACAGGAAAACACTGCAAACATATAATGTGCAGTGCAGCAATGTCCCGGGAACCCTTCCTCGGTCACCGCTCCGGCCGTAAACCATCCCCTTCCCTCACTCAGCCGCCCGGTCACCCCGTAACGTCATGGCGTCCACAACTTCACCGCGCCGTCGAAGCTGACCGCCACTGACTGCTACCCACCGTGTCTTACGCTACTCACGAATACTGCAATAGGTTGAGGTTACAATTTTGCTGATCCGTCCAGTGTAAACATTCAAACTAAATTAACGTAACAGAACAGTTGCTGTCCTCACTCACTCCTCGTACACTGGCAATGTCACCAAAAAAGTCGTCGAACACGTGAAGAATTAGCACTTATGAACTTTGCTCAAAGCAAAGCAACGTTGGGCTTCAGTTTCACAAAACATGCTGTAAACGTACATTATTAGAAAGCAATAGTTTACAAAGATCCCGCAGACACCAAAACTATCATGATCAGGTAGTCAGTTTATTGGACGTCCATTCTCTTCGCAAGCAAGTCCATTTCGCACCGGCTTCCGCTGTTGAAGGCCAGTAACTTCATAATGAATTACAATGATGATAGGAGACGATACCGCATGTGCAGAATCTGGAATGTGGACCTGAACACGTACAATTACTGTTTTGAATGATATATTTACACTTTAAAACGTATGCACGGGATTGTTTGTTCGTCTTTCTGATACACAGTACCTATCCATATTTGAAGCGACGAGAGGCATATCATTACTCATGCTCGATCATTTAACGATCGAATTTATGATGAATAAAAAGTTTCACTATAACGCAGCGAGTTTATACGCACGAACACAGCCTTCCCCAATCCCCAGTCCAAGCTGAGGCGTATTTCACAGAGTTTGTAGTTGCGGAGCTGTTCGGGTTCGCTCTCAGCCCCACTCAGCGATCAGGTGCGGCGCCACCGCCGCCTCCAGCGGACGGAGGGAGGGCGTCACTCCCGCCATCTGACGGACGGCCGGCGGGGGCCGCCACCGCACCGTCGGCCCCTCGGTCACCTCCTGCTCGGCCAGCCGCGGCCGCTGCCGCAGCCAGTCGGCCAGACTGGGCGGCGGCCGCTGCTCGGCCTCGGCCTCCGCGCGCAGCCGCTCCAGCTCCTCCGGCGAGAGGTGCGAGAAGCGGCAGTCGTCGCCGAACGGGCAGCCGGCCGGAGTGGAGAGCCGCCAGCAGGGCCGCCGGCCCGCCACCTCCGAGCGCCACTGGTCACCGGCCGACGCCAGCTGCCGGTAGTGCTCGGCACGGGCGGCCATGTGCGCCGCGCCCCGCACGTGCCGCCGCCACGTATCGGGCGAGTAAGCGAACCGTGTGCCGCAGTAGTCGCACAGGTACTTCTTCACCATGGTGTATGGCTATATGACAGATGTCCTGGGCCAGAGAGTTGAACAGTGGCTAGGTATCAAAGAGAAATGGTAGCACACCGACATGAAAGTAACATATAACATCATCAAACACAAAAAATAGAAAGGCAAGTTAAGGAGAAAATGCAAAAAAAGGTATAAATTTATAATCATGGGCCAGTTTCACCAATCTTAGACCCACCAGCAGCAGTTACTTTTAGCTGAAGTCACTTAAGATTTTTGCTAAGCAAGTTAACTGGAATAATTATCAGAGTTAAACTAATATTTCTATAGGAAACAGAGTTATTTCCTCTCTTAGCACCCCTAAAAACTGGATAAGTTGGCAAAATAAGTCATTAGAACATGAAAATTGAAAGGAAAGGACACATCGACAGTTCCAAGCAAGAACATCCTTTGTGTCAAATTTTTTGAAGGTGAGATTTTTACAATGTTCTTTCTCGGAACTGTCGACATCCTTCTTTTGTCGGCACATTCGTCTTCAACATAGGCTGGTGCAAAGGGAGGATTTCAAAGTAAACTGCTTTACTGAATATTTCATTAAATTAAATGCTGAATAGTAAGATGATAGGTACTCAAGATTTCAATATAATGCAATTTCATTTATGGCAAAACTCCTGATGTAGAACTAGAGAGTAGAGCCTATGCTATGACATTACCCGCAAAAAACGGACACGCCTAAGAGCTGGACTTTTTGATGACGTCTTCGGGTGACGTCATGTCGTGTGTGACGTTTCGTGAGCAGGTAAGGAAAAGTCACCACCGCTGGCGAACATTGGTGCGGTAAATGGCAAACACAAATACTGCGCAGAAAAGACAAATGTGTAACTTTAGACCACGTCAGTCCCACGCACAAGGGGGAAAAGCTCAAATTATTGAGCGCTCAAAAAATTGAGCGGGCCCCATTATGAAGGAATAGGCGAAACGATGGTATTTTACAATGCCTCTAGCGTCACACTACGGCCAATATCGTATCCAACTAAGGTATCAATGGCAAGAGAGAGCAACAAGGTTTCTTCTCGAACACTCGCCGTGATAATTTATATCGGTGTTTTTGGAAAGAAAATGCCCTAAAGACGCTCAACTTTTTGAGCGCCACTTGTCGTTCGGGACCGCGATACTCAATAAATTGAGCGCCACGACAGACGACAGTCAGCTGGCGCTCAAAAAATTGAGTGCCGGCCAGCATCTACACTCAATTTATTGAGCCTTCTCCGTGACAGGTGAAGCCGGTACTGGCTGCCATTTTTGATGTTATATTCGTTGAAATACGTTAAACTGAGTTGAAACAGAAATGCAGGAAGTTGAATGCTACGTGGTACCTAAACTTTTCACAAACCCATGGCATCATGTCACATTTTCCGCTAGTAGTTTTATCGGTCGCCTTTCGGATTCGGCACACCTCAAATAATTATACAGGGCTTGAATAATCCGTATGAATACTGTATTGATATTTTCTGACTACTGGGAGAAGGGAATACGTGATTACAGAAAGATATCCAATTCCACCCACGCTTGAATATTGGAGAATTATACAGGAAAAACTGTATTGCCACGGTTACAACTTACAAGGCCATCGGCTGCAAACAAACAAAAATACTATACAATGTGGGTTAGATTCACAAACATCATCAAGTGTGGAACACAGAGACGAGCAAAACAACATCACATTATCGCATGCCAGCCCGACCACATTGGAACCGGGTGACCTGCGACCGGAACCTGCGTCTTGCCAGCATACATCACAAAAGCAGGAGGCAGTGTCGTACTGCTTTGATCCAAAATATGCCATATAACAAATGATATTAACGACCTAAGCTCGGACTAAGCTTATCATTATCAAATCCTTAACATGTAAAAGACGAATGGAAACATCGAGTCTCAGACCAGGAGTAGCAACCATCACAGTAGCAACATCACAAAGAACACGCGGCATTATCAGACAGCCGTTTTGTTATCGGGCTACAGGCGGCGACGGCGTGGTTGCAGACCAGCTGCGAGGTAGCGGCGTGCGGGCAAAAGGCGCGGGCACACCTCCATGTGGCCGTGCGGACAGTGCGCGGTCGACGTCGCATAGTGGGCGGCATCGGGCTGTCCCGGGGCCGTCGAAGCCGCACAGGTTGTCGGCGCATGTGGGCGCGCGCGGTCACCACGGCCAGCTGCTCACCACCAGCACAGACTGCGCAGCGTCGCCGCTCCGCCGGCCAGAACACGCAGACAACCCTTCTTGCAGTCGCACAACACGTCGCCAAACTCATTCACCTGCCCCACCATGTTGTTGATGTCACCGAGTCGTTCAAGTTGTGGCTCGTGCCGTCGAGCATGACCTGCCCGATCGGACACGGGTCAGCGGCTTCTGCTCCAGCGAAGTCTTCATCTTGGTGACGTCTTGCTGATCTCCACGAAGGCTGAGCAGATGACCTTACCCACAGGGACGGCCGACGTCCTCGCCAGCGACCGCTTGGTTGTGCAGGCCTGCCAGAAAAAGAAAAGCTGTTTGGTGATCTCAAACGATTTTTTTTCTTTATGCAGTGGAACAAAATGGAAAATATGTCATACAACAGGAACTAAAAAAAGATGCAGCCTAGGTCGTCTAAGAAATGGGTGCAACATTGATAAAATTCTTCCTTGAATGAATTCTACAAATGCTTTTGATAAAATGTGTGGTGATTATAAGGAGACCACTGTACTATAAAATTGCTCAGGATTCCCTATCTGGACCTGTCAAAAAATCCTGACTGCACACCAAGAATGAGCATTAAATCCAAAACCTCTACCAGGTACCTAGGGATAATTAAATTCTGATTCAGGAAAAT